AGGACAGAGTTCTGTGGACTGGTGTGGTTGTGTTTGGGGGGTGATCTGTGGACCTTACACCCACACTCACCTTCTCAGGAAGTCTCCCTGGCTGGGCGGGGGCTCCAACCCATCCAAAGAACTTCGCCCATGAACACAATGCGAAACCACCAAGGGGAACTGGCCAAGGGCAGCAGCAGGAGATGGAGGCCAAGGCAGGTGCTCGAGCTCCAGAGCACAAGGCCTGCATCATAAGGTCCAAAGAAGGGCCTCAGGATATAACTCTGGAGCAAGAATTCGGGGCTCAGCCGGGTATGGTAGCACATGCCTGTGTGTAATCCCAGCACTCAGGAGGCTGACGCAGCAGGATTCTGAGTCCAGCTTGGGCTACAAAGTGAGTTCAAGGCCAGCCTGGGCTGCATAGCGAGACCCTGTCGTAAAAAGAAAAAAAAAAGTGCCGGGCTCGTGTTCCTTCTCGCTGCCCCTGCCGTGGGCCTCAGACCAGCTCATCTTCTCCTGGGTCAGGTAAGGCACCTAAGTCATAGGGCTGGAGGCAACTTGATAAAATAACCCATGTAAAGTTATCACATGCTTGAAATTCAGTACAAGTTGGTTATCATAAATTTCACGACAATAAAAGTATTATTTATTGTCCAGATGCTTCTCAACTTGTAACGGGGTTGCATCTCAATAAGCCTTCAATGAAAATACCCAAAGTGGGAACTGCCTGTGACACCCCTAACATGCAAACATCACGGGTTTATACCACAGCACGAGGACGTCTCGGTCGTGTGTCCGAGTGGCTACCTGGTGGCTGTGGCTTGCTGCCACTGCCAGCATCACAAAAGAGGACTGAACCCTACACATCACCAGCCCAGGAAAAGTTCCAACTTTAAAGTCATGGTGCAGTTTCTCTGCATGTGCATCTCTTTGACCATATTGTAAGTCAAAAATCTTGAGTCAAATCAGGTCAAGTCATGATCTTTAGGGGATCTTTGAAATCCCAGCAGCAGTGCTGAGTTAGTTCACCTATAAAATGCGGGCACTAACTGGTGCAACACACACATTGACACGCCCAGCCCCAGCATCCAGCAGGTCTGCCTTGCATAACTCAATGACTTTTTTCCTCCTATAAAGCCAGAATCCTCAAGACTTGGCCTTTCTCTTTATGCCTCGCCTGTCTCATACTGTGCATGTGTTCAGCCCAGAGTTTGCCTGGTTGGTAGTTTATAATACAGCGGCCACAGATTCCAGGGGACGGTCTAGAATAGGTCCAATACCAGCACAGAGGCACCTTTCACACGGGTATATCTGATGCTCACACATTGGGCCGGGCTCGGGGCCCCTTGGGAAGGAGATAGCATGGCTTCTGCTCTCTGGGATGGTGCACACTGGTTCCTCTTTCTTTTCCACTCTTTGGGATCAATAAAGGTGCTCAATAAGCTTTGGAGAAATTGAAGGGGATCTGAAAGCAGAATGATAGGGAAAGAAAGGAGAGGAGGAAAAGAGAGATGAGGACCCCTGTGAGTAGCAGAAGTTCCCTGGGAAGAGATCTGGGCCTCAAAGGGTAAGCACAGCTGCCTGGGGAGGCCAGGCTGAGCAGGAGGGCACAGCCATCCAGAGACCATGGGACAGAGAGGAAGGGGACAGTAGCACTAACCGGCAGCCACTGGGTCAGACTGTGGCAAGGTGTGTGATGCCAGAGCCAAGGTGGGTGTTGTCCCACAGGCAGTGGGGAGCCACAGAGGGTCCACCCTGGGAAGGGGACCCTCTAGGGCAGTGGCGATCCGACCAGAACACTCAGGGTGGCCTGAGCACTGCACACGGCTATGGAAGCTGCTGAGTCTGTTGGAAGAAGCCGGGCAGTGAGGTCCAGGCTTGGGCTGTAGCAGGAGGAACGGAGAAGTACGGCCGGGCCTGAGCAGACGCAGAGAGAAGATGAAGCGTGCAGGTCACGGCCACGAGGGGTGCGGTGCACCCTCCAGACAGTGCAGCAGGGCACCGACGCCTGGCAGATCACAGTCAGGGTGCAGGAAATAAGCAAACGCTGTCCAGGAGCACCGTCCCCTCAGGGTCACCTCCAAGAGGGCACCGAAATGATCCGAGCTCCATTCACATTTCACATTTCACGTCTGTGGAGGAGGAAAGAAAATGGACATAAGAAAATGGGCAGCAAGGACAAGGGGCAAGAGGTTTGATGACCAGCACAGTGGCCCCAAAATGCGCCCCCCAGAACCCTGGGCAGGAACGGCCCCAGATCTGTCCCCTGGGTGAAAGCAGCAGGCTGCTACCCCCCACCTCTCTTCCCCACAGTACCTCAACTCTAACCCGCTCCCCACACTCAGTCACACAAGCCGTCGAGGGCCTGGCTTTTAGCCCCAGCACCACGAGGAAAAAGTGCATCCCGCTGAAAGGGCGCGCCTGGTTTAAAAGAAAAAAGTGATGCTGGTGACGCACAAAAATTAAAACTGGACTGGAAAAGAAAATTGTCAATGATAATTCTCACCACTGACCCCCCCCCCCTTAAAAGTTACTAATTGTGTTCTGTGGGTGAGGCGATCCTGAGTGGTCAGGGTTGAGACAGAGCTGGACGCTGAAGTCTTCTGGTGTCTGCATCTGGGAGGCTGTGTCAGACAGTGCTGCGCTCCAGGCCCTCTCCTGTCCCCTGCTCTGCCCTACTCCACCAGGCCCCACATGTTATTCCAGGGGACCTGTGCAGCCCCCACTCCTGGGTCTCACACCCTCCAATGTGGCCACCCAGAGCCACCTCCACTGAGCCCTTCTCCCAGGCCTGCGGTGTCCTCCAGAGCCCCGTCTCCATGGAAACAGCCAGAACTCACCCTTGCCCCCAAGGATGCCTCCCGCACCCTGATTCCCAGGCAGCCTCACCCAGCGCCTCCTCTCCTCCCACCAAGAGGAAGCAAGAAGGGCAGGTTGGGATGGGCACTGCTTGCTTTCCAGCCTTCTCATTATGGCCCCTTCAGCTCCCGGCTGACAACCTGATAATTCTCTCTGATAGCGCAGTCTTTGGCGGCTACTTTGACACCGTCCTCTCCAGAAAGATTTGAGATAAAAAAAAAATGTGCTGTGAAATCGTCATTAGAGCAGGGAGGGGAGCGCTTGGGGCAGGGGTCCTCTCTCCTCCCTTCTTCCCATTCCCATCTTCCTTCTCTTTCTCCTTCTCCTCCTCTACCTCTTGCCCACCTTTCTTCCTCCCCAGCTCCCTTCTTTCTCTCCTGCCCCCTCCCGCCTCTCCCCTTCCTCTTCTCTCGGCTATTTGTCCTTCTCTCTTGTTTTGGTGCCAAAACAGTCTAATTACAACAGAAAACTTGAAGAGACAGGGAGAGAGAGAGAGAGAGAGAGAAAATCCACCACACACAGCTGATTAAAATGTCCTATGAAATCTAATTTGTAAAGCTCAAATCAGAATAAAAAGTGTTACTCCCACAATTCAAGGCCAATGTGATTTTTAATGAGCCTCCTCAGAGATGCAGCCAGGCCCCAGCAGGCTGTGAACCCGGCCACCTGCTGCAGCCTGGAGCTGCATCTCTGCTCGTGGGAGCCCCCACCACACCCTCTGCTGGTGCCCCGGGCTCCCTTCCTCCGCTGCTTCCTCGGCTGAACGCTCAGCCCTGTGTGTGAACCAGCCTGGAGTGTTGCGTCCCCTACGTGGGCAGCTGCAGGTATCCAGGACTCCCAGCGAGGAGGGGTGAGGCCATGGCAGCGTCGGCCCCATCGATTTCCAGGTGCCATGTCTGTGTCTACAGGGCAGGGAGGGCTCAGAACTCAGAGGTGACCTTGGTGGGGAGGGGGTGCTGCACCCTCTGACCCTGGCTTCTCTGTTATCAAATGGGCCTGTTTCCACCCTGAAGTATATAAAATGGACCGCAGAGGGGTTGTGCAAAGCACTGATCACACTGCTCAGACGCTCGGTGAATGTCAGTGTCCTGTCACCCTGTGGCCACTCAGGAAGCGGGGCCCATGCCACCACGCTTCTTAGCAGCTGGAGCTGCCAGGACCAGGCCTCAGGACCTGCACGCACATTGCCCAGCTAGTGAGAACTTGGCGCTTAGGGCCAGGAAGATGTGGATTCGCAGCCTCTCTGCGCCCAGGGAGCGCCCTGGGGAATTTCACTCAGTCCCTGGGACCCGTTTCCCAACCCCTGCAAGGCGGGCTTCACATGACACACTGGGTGCTCTTACTGCCACCACCACAGGGAGGATGCAGCACCTGGGAGTGCCCTGTCACCCACCAGCACGGCTCCTGTCACTTTACCTCACCTCCTGGTGCCTCATCCCCAAAAATGGGGGTAAAAATAGTGCTTGCTATTTTTAAGTTGCTACTAGTCTGAAAATATTAATGAGCTAATATTCAAAAACCTGAGCCCAGAGCCTGGCATCTTGTTCGTACCTTGAGGGTGTTGGTTTAATAAAACAGGAACTGATAGCTGCCATGGTTCCTGCTGTCTGGGTTTGGAGCACACAGCAGTCATAGGCCCCATGGATGACCAGCCCCGGGAGGCTGGGTAGCGCCTGCTACAGGAAAGGAAGGGACAGGAAGATGCAGCACAACCAGGCCAGCAGCTCCCTCCAGCACGTGTGTCATCCTGAACACCACCCACGCTCCTGGATCTGCTCTAGGCCTGGCCAGCAGCTGCTAAAACCATACTCGTGCCTGTGATCCCATGTTTGACTAAAACCACCCAAGTGGTGTTCAGTAGGAGTTCACCCAAGACAAAGACAGGAGCACATCCCCAGGGTAGCTGGGGTGGCCGCTGGGGGACTGGGAATGGTTGGTCCCCAGTGTTAGTGATAAGGACTGATGAGCAGAGGGCTGGGTGGAGAATCAGCCCTGGACCAGGATGAAGCTGGGCATGAAGGTCTCCAGCAGAAGTGGCAGACTGGGACAAAAGGGGGAAGCCTGGTCCCCTAGGTCAGCCTCATCTCTGCCTCTGGAAGCTGAGAGGAGCCTGTGGGCTGCTCCCGGCACAGAACTCACCGCTGTGCTTGTCTCCTTCCTAGGCCAAGTCTACTCCTTCAGCCAGCAGCCCCAGGACCAGGTGGTGGTATCCGGACAACCGGTGACGCTGCTGTGCGCCATCCCTGAATACGATGGCTTCGTTCTGTGGATCAAGGACGGCTTGGCCCTGGGTGTAGGCAGAGACCTCTCGAGTGAGTACCTCCAAACCTGCCCAGGCAGGCCCAGCCACCTCCCCAGAAAACCCACCTTCTGCCACAGGTGTTTGGAGAGAGAACTCCAGCTTTCCCTGCAGCTCCCAGGCAGAGACCAGCTAGGTCTAGAACCCCAGAGCTCCAGGGCTGCAGACCCCATTCCAGTGGTGAGTCCTAAACATAGCACAGTGTTACCATCGGGAATCTATGCCAGTCAAACACCTTTCACCTAAGTCTAATTTCTAGGAATCGAGTGTTTTTGTTTCTTGGCCCATAGTGTATCCCTCATTTATCAAGGTGCGATCCAGCTTCTCACCCAATAAGGAAGCCAAGCAAACTAATAACTCAAGAAGAAATCTGGCTGACCGTAGGGGTCATCTTGTCATGGGAAGAAAAGAAAATACAGGAGGTGTCCGCAGTAAACCTATGAATGCCCCGCTTGGCATCAAGTGTCAACTATTGTGAATGGCTACCCGTGCCACCATGCAAACCCCTTCCCAACCCATCCTTCCCCAGGGGAAAAGAGGAACGGACCATCCTCCAATCAGCCAGGAGTCTTCCACCCCGGGGGGTTAGGTGCCAGGCTGCTAAGCTGGATATCAATGGCACAGTTCAGAGGGCAGGTCTGGGTGTCCTTCCCTGGAGATTTGGGAATGGCTGGGGGCAGAGGCTGAGTGAAAAATACATATTCTGCTGAAAAGAGCTTTGCATCTTTCACGGCGTACAGCTGTAGAAAAATAAAAATCGCAGTGTACTCAGGAACATGATAGTTGGGAAATTAATATTTTAGAATGTGAGTTATGTCTTTCCAAAAATGTATATTGAAACATTATAGCAATGGTCAATAGCAGTCACAGAGTTTGCATCCTGAAGCCCAGCTGAGCACAGATAAAATATACAACAATATCTCCAAAATATACTGTGTAGCCGTAAAGTTTAAGTGCTATGGGAACCAGCCAATCTCAGAGACTCTGAGCTTCCTTACCAGAGAGAAATGGGAAGAACATCAAAACCTCCCCAGATGAAACTTGCTCAGGCTCCGAGTGGTCCTGAGCTCAGCCTTGCACTGTGGCTGTCACAGAGGCTGCCCCATGCCTAGTTAGTGGTGGTCAGCCTTCCACCAGGAGCAGGGGGCTTGCAAGGTCAGTGGCCGAGAAGCAGTCCTGGGTCACCAGGGATGATTCACAGAGTGGTCATCGTGGCCTGGATCATTGCCCATAAATGACTTCTGGGATCCTGGATTGGTGCCTGCTCCATGCTTAACAAATAAATAAACAAACAAACAACATGGGCTTCTGAGCTCTCCAGCTCAACTCCAGTTACAGGAGGAAAGCAAGCCCTCTTCCTGCACAGCTTGAGCTCCAGGTAGACATTGGCTCTGCACATGTCCCCCAAATGCCATCTGGACAATAATGATAGATATTTCCAGGATCAATCAGTGCTGCTCGCTTGGCTGATGATGGAGCAAAACAGCTCCACACAACTCAGCGAGTATTTGTAAGACCCTTAACGCTGAGAATGCTTTCCTACAGGGAAACTGAGGCACTGTGGCAAGACTTCACCTGCTACCCCTCAGTCTTTCCAATTCAACCATGTCACCCCCTTCAGTCTACTGGGAATGACAGACTCGCTGATTCACAAAGGGACACTAACTGTTCCCCTGGTCCCCGAGACTGGAAACCCAGCCAGAGAAAATGACTTATAAATATGCTCCCTCATATGGATAGAACCCTTTTCTTCTAAGAAGTTCAAATACTTTTCAGATAATTATCTCATAAATCTGCAGTTGTCTAGAAGGAACAAAGGGTTTTCTCTTTATTTGACAGGTAAATAGAATCACAACAAAGAGAGACATTGACTCAAGTAGATAACCAATCCCAGTGTGTGGGACCCTGTCTGCTGGCCTCAAGTGGTCCCTATGCTCTGTCTGCTTTCCCTTCCAGAGACAGAGCCCTCCACCTGGGCCAAATGACATTTAGAGACTGCTTACTGTGCAGGCACTTTACAGAGGCTACCCTATCCAGTCCTCACCTGGGTGCTAGCAGCATTGCCCTCATTTTACCAATAAGGAAACTGAGGCACAAGAAGTTAAAGTAATTTGGCCAAGACAACAGAGTAAGGAAGAGATATACCAGCATCAAACCCGAGCAGTTTGACTGTAGAACCCACACTCCAGATAATTTGACCTCCTTTGGGAGTAGACAGAGATTAATGATACTATAAAGGAGCTAGAAAGTCCTGAAATCTATGCTTCTGTTTTCCAGAGATGCTGCCAGTCCTAGGGATAGCATCACAGCTCGCTGCCTAATTAGGCAAATACAAACAAACCCATCACTGATGTTTTCAGCAGCTCATGAGAGCAAAATCCTGCTGCTGATAGCTTGCAAGACAACAAAAACACCAGCTCCAGCCAAGATGCCTGCAGGAGACTGGGGGATAATCACAGGACAGCAGGAATTGGGCTGGGCTGGAGGGTGGGGACACGAGCCAGCTGCACGGAGGGTTGCAGCAGCTGGGAGAGGGGTGCTTGGAGCCCAGTGCGGGGAGAGCCAGCCTCACTTACGTGGGCTCCCTCCCCAGCCCATCACGGGGAAGGAAAGTGGCAGGCATGAGTGGGACACAGGCAGTGCCCATAGGTGGCAGCTAACTGCCTTCTGAACATTTTTGGCCGGGCCTGCACAGCTGTGGAAGATGAGGCCTTTTGGTGACATGAGGGGACAAGCGGCAGCCATGCATGGCTCAGCTGTGTGGGAAAAACCCTCAGAGCCTGCGGCAACTCATCCAGAGGCTCAAAGTGCCCTACCTCACTTGCCAAAAATGGGCACTGGTGGCCCCTGGTGTAGCCAGCCCCAGGAAGCCCTGCCTCACCTCTGGGCCACTCTAAACTTAGGGAAGCAAAAGGACCTTAGAGTGCACCCAGTCCAGCCTTCCATCCAGGGTAGAAATCATCCTGGCAGGAGAGAGGTGACCATCCAACCTCTGCTTGAATAGAGCCAGTGATGAGGACTTCCCTTCTGTCCCTGGCAGCCCACCCAGATCTCTGTTTGGACACCTCGAATGGTCAGGGATATTTGACGTGGCTTCATGCTACCAGTGCTGCCAGTGCTGGTGTTGCCCTTGGGAGCACATCTGACCCCCACACATCAAGGCCTTGGAAACATATGAAGAAAGCACTTGCTTCTCTCTGTCTCTCTGTCTCTCTCCTCACTCTCTTTTCTCTCTCTCTCTCTCTCTCTCTCTCTCTCTCTCTCTCTCTCTCTCTCTCTCCCCTGTCTTATCTCTTCTTTATAAGAGCCAGAGTGTCCAATCCTCTCCTCCCGTGGTGTTTTCTACAATTTTCCACTGTTCTGGTAAAGGTCCTGCAGAGAGAGCAATCGTCCGAGCCTCCGAAGGGTGGTACGAGCAGAGTGGACTCTGACGGGAGAGAGGGACCAGAGCCAGGAGAAAGGGAGGGTGCAGGGGTTCACTTGTAAATCCATGGTGCAAGGGACACGGGCGAGGATAAGCTCAGGCGAGAGGCGGGATGAGAATGGATCCTACCAGGACAAACTAAGGAGGTGTAGGTCCAGTGTCCAGGGAAGACGGCAACAGCCCCACCTGGCCAGCCATGGTTTATGGTGGTATTTATATTCAGCCCTACACAGCAGCAGGAAAGCTGATTAATGATTTATCATCCTCAAACTTTTATTTATCTATTATTCATTGCCAGTGGTAGAAGGGGCCCCAAATTCCTAAGTGTCCTGAGCATCTCATAAGTGCTTAATCAGGCCCTAGGGCTCGGGGTAGGTAGCAGAAATAACCAGAGAAGGACCGCTTATGGCTCAGAGCGCCCAGAGATTCAGCAGGGGCCTGATTTCTACTTCCTGTCCTGTCCGTCCTGGGTCAAAACTTCTTCCCAACAGGCAATCTTGATTCTTTTCCAAATATTTTTCTTTCCTGCCTTTTCTCTCTTGTTCTGTCTTCTCTCTGCAAATCTCAGGCTGGCTTTTCTGTCTCTCCCTCCTGCCTCCCATTTGTCTCCTTTTCTAAATGATGTATGTCTACTTAGTAGGCCACGGTACCGAGCACTTTACAGAGCAATTACCCAGCCAGCTGCATCTGACCACAGTTAGCATCTGTGTCTCCTCCCTTTCCTCTCTAATGGTCATCCTAACCTTAAAACCGATAACCACACACACACACACACACACACACACAGGCCCGCCCTGCAAATCTCCGGCTTTTGCGCCCCCCACCTTGAGATGAGCACCCTGAGCTGTCACCTGCTGAGAGCTCCCACTGCTGTCCTGTTTGTCTCAAATGTTCCTCCATGCTGCAGAGTGATATATAAAATTTCCTCTTTACCCTCTACAGATCCAGTGCTTTTAACCTGTGAAGTAAACTGGCAATGGACAGATTGACAGAGATAAAGGCATTTAAGTGTATTAAAATGCGGAAACACAGGAGCCATCCACCAAGCATGAGGCTTAAAGGAAGAACCAGATAGTTGAGGCGTAAACAGCATTTTAAGCTACAGAAAGAACCAGGGGCCAGGCTGCTGGAGGGAGGGGGATGCTAGTTATGGAAGAAAGGGGCTGCAATTCACCTGACAGAGGCTGGGTCTTGTTATGCTGATCAAGCCTCCCGGGTACTGGTTATCAGAAGGCCACCTGCGGTCATCTCTGTACAGGCCAGGTGTCAGACTCACAATCTCTCCCTCCTGTGAAAAAACCTTTCCTAGACAGGTGGCAGGATCCGATAGAAAAGCCTCTGCCAGTGTCCCTGTTGACTAGGTGCACATTTCTTTTTGCAAAAGGACAGCCTTTCGAAGCCATTCTGTGATGTCCATAGCATCTCTAAAGAGCCACCTGCAGATAGGCTTAAGAAAGCAAATTAAAGAAGAAGGGTTCTTTAGCCTCCCTAACCCACCTGCCATCTCCCACAGGTTACCCCCAGTACCTGGTGGTGGGGAACCATCTGTCAGGAGAGCATCACCTGAAGATCCTGCGGGCAGAGCTGCAAGACGATGCTGTGTATGAGTGCCAGGCCATCCAGGCTGCCATCCGGTCCCGCCCTGCACGTCTCACTGTGCTAGGTAAGAGCCGTCACATGTGAGGCAAGAGTGTCCTGGGAAACACCAAGGCTCAGCTCTGGGGCCCTTCCAGCCAGGTCAGGGAGAAAGGCTCCTGCTGGGCATTATCTCACCAGCCTCCAGTCACTGTTGTGGTCTCTCTCCACCCACAGGGGTCAAGAGAACTCTCCTGGCCTCAGAAATCCCAAGGCCAAGGCCACCTGACCTCTGACTGTCCAACCCCAGTTTGCATGACTGTGCCTTGGAGAACTGAGGAGGATTCCTGGGCACTCTCCTCCTGTGATCAGGGCCACACCCAGGCTAGGCCATGGGGATAAAGGTTAAAGGATGTGGTGTGGTCTACAAGTCCTTTCCTTCAGGGTTAACCTCTCCCAAAGCGCTAACAAGTCTCCTCTGCCCATGTCCACTGCAAAAGCAGCCCCAAGCTGATTTTGGTGTCCATGGAGAATCACCAGTGACCTGTAGTCCTTCTCACCCCTTCTCCTGGGAATCCTGGCTCAAGGGTCAGCAGCCCCAGGGAAATCCATTTCAGGCCTCATTCCAAATCATACTTTCCCCCTGAGATCTTTTGCTCCGCATCCCCGCTCCTCCATTCAGCAGACCTCCCTGAGGGATGGGCTTGTGCAGTGACCCACAGAATGCCTGTCTCTGATGACAAGTTCAGCCCCGGTCATCTCCCACCTCTGGCCAGATGTTCCAGAGAGACTGGGGGCTGCAGGGAGGCAGCCTGGCACATGAGTAATAACAGCTTCATTTGTACAACGCTTTACAGCAACTGTGGAAGCTTTCTCGCATGCATCACCTCAGCTCTGCCTAAGCTATTCTGGAAACTAGAGGCTGTTACCCCAGGTGAGAAACTGAGGCTCCGAGAAGTGGAGGGCCCGGCTCAGGGTTTCTGGGCCAGGATTTCCCATAGAGAAGCCTCCACCAGACACATATGGAGAGAGCTGGGGCAGCCAGAAGAGGGGAGCCCGGCTGCTGCCTCCTCTTGGCAGCTGCCTCAGAGGCTTGATGACAGGTTGGCAGCTGGGGCACTGCATCGTAGCCTGTAGATAAAGCTCACGGCTGCTGAGAAATGAAATATTTAAAAGTGTGTCAGGTCCTCTTCAGATCTACATACCCAAACACACCGGGGCAAGCACTTTCACGCAGGGCAACAGATGGGTCCCCCAGGACCATTTCTAACAACTCGGAGCTGGGTGTCTGGAGACAGGGAGGGGCAGCAGGGCCAACCTCCCTGACCTGGTGGACTCCTGGAGTCCCCTGTGGCCTTCAAAGGAAGGAATAGAAAAATAAACCATCGGGCGGGGCAGCCGGCTGGGCGACCTGGCTGCAGGCAGCCTCTGGCAGAGGCCAGGGATGCTAAGGAAAGATAGCTGTCCTCTTTCCTCCAGGGAGAATGGCTAAATTGGGACCGGGTCCACAACCTGGGGTGGGCTTGAGGGAAGAGGGAGCAGAACTTAGGGTTATCAGTTTTTGTTTTTTTTTTCCTAATTTGGGGATTTGCAAAGTACCAGAACAGATTTGCTAGGAAGAGTTGTGGGGTCTCATCTTCAAAGACAGCTCAGCTTCCCATACTCAAAAGAGCCTGCCCCTGCTGCCTCGCCTTCTAGAGAGGGCCAGGAGCGCTAAGAAAGAGCAGAACCTAAGCTCTGAGCACTCTGACTTCATACCAGACCAAGGACTCATCTCCTCCTTAAGGTATCTCAGCCTCGCCAGCTAAGCAGGGCCATTTCCTTTCTCTTCTCTATCACAACATCCAACATATTAAAAATCCAAATTCTGCCACACGTTTGACAGATAAGGAAACAGAGACGCAGAGAGGCAAAGGCCCTCAAAGGAGGTCACACAATTTAATTAACATTTAAAATCAACTCCACATTTTCCAGCTTCAGACCAATGCTCTTTGCCATCTCCCACTCCCAAATGCCATCCGAATGGCATCTGTTTTGCTGGTTAAGAGCCAGGCTTCTCAGAGCAGGGCCTCAGGAGCCATCCGAACAGACCTGACTTTGTCTTGGGTCATATCGCCCTCTGCACTGGCCTGGTCTGGCACTGCCCTCTGGGTGTGAAGCTGGGTCTGTCAGAGGGGGGCATTCTTGCAAGTGTGGTGATCAGCTAAAGGTGGTGGGGGGCTAATTACAGAAGGCCTAGAGGGTCCCCTTGGTAGACTTCCTGAGAGTCAACAAAGGAGACCAAGCAGGTGTCTTGTCTGTCAGCCTTTTATGCCATCTCCAAAAACACTCATCCTGAGCAAACTAAACCCAAGGCAAAGAAAAAAACAAAACAAAAAAGAGTTACACTAGGATCTGCCAACAGCCTCCTTAACTGCTTAGGGCAGACCCTCCTGCCCCCAAGTCTCCTACCTAGCAGCCCTGTAGGGCTCTGCCTGGCTGAATCTCTCCAGGTTCAGGGACCCACCTTCTGCCCTGGAAGAAATTCCTGCAAGCAGAAACCAACCCAACCCCCTGGAAAAGGACCCCCGTCCTGCGACAGTGGAGGACAGAGCAGCTGCTCCATATGGGGGCAGAGGTGCTTGTGCACCCTGGCCCAGCTGCCTTCTTTCCCAACCAAGACCCCATCTGCTTTGCTGTGACATCTCAGCTTGGGAAAATGTCCCAGCCAGTTCCCTGAGCGAGGCTGCCTTCTCCTCCTTCCAGGAATAAGAGAGCTTCCTAATTTAGTCTGTATTTGCCTGAGATAGATTTTTAATTAAATAAAGTAAGAGCCTGATTAGAACCTGCAGAAGATGTGAGTGCAGAATCAGATGGTATTCCAGCAAAATTGCAAAGCAAATACTTTGGCTAGAACAGAGGGAAGCCCCGGGGGTCTTCCATCAAAGCACCAAGTGAGGAGGGCAAATACAAGAGCTTATATCACCAACAGATGTGCATTGTTAAAATATGCATCTGCCAGCAGCATGCTTGGAGAAGCCAGAGGGCCGGTTTGCAGAGTCTGCCGGGCTCCAGGGAGAGTGTGGGGACCAACCCGACAGCCAAGCCTAGAGTCACAGACACATTAATTAGCATTGTGTTTCCAGCTCTCAGATGCAATCAGGCAAGAAGCAACTTTGAGCTGAGCATTTGCTGCCCGGGGAGGCAGAGAGAAGGAGCTAGAAAATGAGGGGAAGGTGGGGGAAGCGGACGGGCCTGGGAAGCTAAGCAGGACGATGGAGAACTCCAGTCGGCTTCGAGCTGCCAGGTCGACTGACATTTTCCCACCCACAGAGCAACTCAGGAGCTTTGGTGTCTCAGAGAGAGCTGCAGAGCTAGAGGCAAGGGTCTTGATGCTAGCTAACACCAGCCAGCTGTGTGTGTGATCCTGGTCCCATTACTCCTCTCCAGGTCTGTTTCTTGGCCTGGAAAATGAGAGATGATGATTTTTTTCAAGTTTTTAAAAATGTCTTAGAACTGTCCAGCTCCCAGAAAATCAAGAGACCAACATGCTCCATCAACTATTTCAGGAAAATGGGCCATCTCCCACTGGAACCAAGATTTGTGCAGGGCCTGAGGCGTAGACTGTAATGATTGGGACGGCTTAGACACTATCTCGCCTGTGGGGTAGGAGATGGGGCCTCTTGATGCCCCATCCGATGCTGGGGTTCTGGACTTGGCTGTGTACCTTAGCCCCGTGCTTCCCTCTGTATCCAGTTGCCAGGGGAACTTAGCCATCTCTGCAGAGATTCAGCTCATTTGGACATCCTCTGACTCCCATATAGATGTGCGGAACTATGGGAAGCCCTCTGGCTGGGAGGTGGAATGCCCTTGTGTAACTGGATGGCCTCGAATGATCTTGTTACATGTGGATTCTCTTACAGTTAACTTTCTAACCAGCATTTGGTACAAAGGAGGTACTCAGTGATATTTGTTTGACTTTTTAAAAAGTGAGATGAATGAATGAATGAATGAATGAATGCGTTGAATGCTATTTCTGGTTATTCTTCTATAAATGATGATGCTAAAAATATCAATCTCAGAATTGTACACATACATGCATGCTCTCTGAACAATAGTCTCACACACTTTAAAGCTGTACCCACACACGTGCATGTGCACATGTAGACTGCCTGGATTCCTTTTCCATGTGTAGAACCACAGGGCTGAAAACTAACCTCTCAGCAAGGGCGGGTGGGTAAGGCTGGCATTGCACTCCATCTATCCAACCACCTGGGGGCTCAGAGCAGGAGGAAACGGATGCCAAGGATCTGCTTGATCAATGAGCACCTACTAAATGTCAGGATTAATCTAGACACTCGGGATCCATCAGTAAATGAGAGACAAAACCATCCTGGCCCTGGTGGAGCTTGCGTTCAGCAGGGTTAGGGAACAGAAGTTAGGGAAGGAAGCGTCAGGTGTCAGATTAATTATTCAAAAGGACATTTTCCCAGTCTTCCTCCCCATTTCCCTCTTCTTCCTGGCCCATTCTAATATTAACTCTGCTATCCTGTGGTTCCTGCTAGACATAAAGCATCCTAAATCAACATAAATTATTTAAGATAAAGACTAAGTCAATTAAAGTGAAGAAGATGTCTTTTACAATGATGTCACACCCCAGATCCTGCAAGGGGCAAATGGAGAAGTCTGACCCACCTGGCTTCTAAGCTCACTCTCCTAAACCCAGAGGGTGGGCAGCACCTCTCGGTTCCCCACCCACAGTGGTCTGGGCCACAGGGACCAGAGAGGAGCACTGAATAATTCAGGCATATCCAGCGAGGAAATGCAGAGCTGAAAGGGAGCCAGAGGACACCACTTCCAAATGGTCCTTGCAGAAACTGCTTCCCACCGGCGCCCCACAACAAAAAGCAAGTCAGTAAAGGAGAGCCAAGCAGCCAGCCGTGGTTAGAAAATGTCTCTGCAGATACACTTGGCGTGCGAGGTCCCCCAAAGCCTGCCATCCGCCCTCTCCCCAGCCCACTTCACCCCTACCTGCTCCTATCACACCTCCCCTACAGCTCCCTCTGCACACCACCCTGCACGTCCGCCCAAATGCCCTTCTATCTCTCT